ACTCACTCCTTCAGGCAGTTAGGTGGCAGAATGGGGGCCCCGCTGCCCAAGCCACAGGGCCCCCACCGATTGCAGTGCTTTAGACAAGACGGGCCCATGTGTTTCTCAGAAGGGACAGAGTCCTCACTGCCAGCACCTTTCTACCCCCATCACCCATGCGTGCCCCCGTGAGAGTAAAGGTCCCTCTGACCCAGCACTGATAGGACAGTTTTCTGGACCATCAGCTAGAACGTGACACAACACTTGGAAATCATGTGGGGAGAAGAGCGACTGAACCAACAAGCAACCACAAGTGCCTGGCCTGACGGAGCCATGAAGAACTCTGATGGTGTGTGTGTTGTTACGAGTGACACAAACAACGCAGGGAACATATATCCATTTCAATTACAAGAGTTAAACCCTGTAATGTTTTCCTTGAAAGACAAAGTAAATTATATCAGGTGGCTCAAAAATATCTTATTCTGTCGAGAAAAATTTCTATGAAACAGCCTAAGTTTGTTAAATTTGAAAAGCCTTTGAACCAACCAAACACACCAGAAACAGACTCACACAGACACAGAGAACAAATGGGTGTTTACCACAGGAAAGGGGGCTGGGGAAGGGTGAAGCAGAGGAAGGGGATTAACAAGTACGAACCTCCAGTTAAAAAATAAGGGAGTCACGGGGATGAAACGTGCAGCACAGGGAGTGTGGTTGGTAAGACTGTGGTAACCGCACGGTCACCAGCAGGGGGCAGACTTACTGCAGGGAGCACCCGGTAAGGCGTGGAGCTGTCCAATCGCTATGCTGGACACCCGAAACTAATGGAACACTGGGCTTCCATTAAAAACACGTGTTAGGTCAATAGAGGAAAAAGCATTTAACTTTCCAAACTTGTGCACTTTCAAAAAAAATTTTTTTAAATCTATCCTTTATTAAATTGAAAAGCGTATTTAGCAAATACTAAAACATATTACTATTCATATTTTATGGAAACTTTGCAAAAGGAAAACAAACTTTGTTGAATCAAATGTAAACATGAAGTCCTTAAATCAGCATCCTAGGCTTTTCACATTTTACAGTTTTCATTTCTTCGGCCACATTTGTCTAACTGGATTCTCAAACTGTGAAAAACAAGACAAAGGATCATGTTGAAGTAGGCGTGAGACATTTTGGAGCTAAAAAGAGGTGCAGGTATAATTCTGTCTAGTAAGTCTCTCCACACTTGACTGAACATGTAAATATAAAACTGTTGACTGGAGGGGCCGCCTGGGTGTGTCAGTCACTGAGCATCTGCCTTCGGCTCAGGTCGTGGTCCCAGGGTCCTGGGATCGAGCCCCACATCGGGCTCCCTGCTCCGCGGGGAGCCTGCTTCTCCCTCTCTCTCTGCCCCTCCCCCGGCTCGTGTCCCTGCTCTCGCTGTCTTTCTCTCTCTGTCAAATAAATAAATAAAATTAAAAAAAAAAAAACACCAAGAAACTGTTGACTGCAAAACCAGAACAAGACAAACTTGCAGAAACTTAGTACATTCCTCATTTTGTAAACAGACTTTTAAAAAGGCTATATAAGCTAAACAAAAACAAAGATCTGTTTTTGTGTAAATGCTGGTATATTTACATATATGTAAACATGCATTCATATTTATAAGTCTGTATATGTACACGTATCTGAAAAGTTTTATAGTTTTTACCAATAGTAAAATTACAGATACCTATTTCTTTCTCTTTTATTAGATATTATCTAATTTTTTACTATAAATATATATACAACTGAAATACAAAAAAAAACACTGAAAGTTAATATCGGCCTAAAAATGCTTATAATGTATATTTCATACCTATAGTTCATTTTTCCTGTTAATTTGACAAAAGAAATGGGAAGTCTCTTTATACTGTCATTATGCTGAAGAAATCAGAGTCCATAGGAATAAAATATTTCACTAAAAAATATAATAAAAATTTGAATAGTGTTCAGTGGTTTCCACTGGTTAAATACGGAAGTGCTCCTGAAAAAAGAAGGAACAGAGTCCCCAATTGGCCTTCTGCACTATGAGAGTCTTGAAAGGGACATCAGAAAAACACCTTAGAACTGACAAAAGCAACACAAATGAAGAAAAACAAGATTAATGAAGCAAAACACAAACCAAGCAAAACAAAACAACACAGGATTTACTAAGAAAATAGGTGTTTGCTCGATGGATGCAGGAGTAGGAGACTTTTGTGGGCAGCTGAAGGAGAGTAGAGGAGTGTGCTAACAAGCTAACACCTGCAGTGCCAGTCCCTGTGGACACAGCCTGAGCAGGGGAGGAGGGGCTCCCCACCAGGCAGGGGGGCTCGCACCAGGGAAGGGGGCTGGTTCACACTGGGCGGGGGGCTTGCACTGGGCAGGGGGGCTGGTTCACACTGGGCAGGGGGGCTCTCACTGGGCAGGGGGTTGGCTCATACTGGGTAGGGGGGGTTGGTTCATTCCAGGCAGGGGGGCTAACAGGGGTAGTGGGGTTGGTTCACACCGGGCAGGGGGGCTGACACTGGGCAGGGAGGTTGGCTGACACTGGGTAGGGGATTGGTTCACTACAGGCAGGGGGGCTCACAATGGGTAGTGGGGTTGGTTCACACTGGGCAGGGGGGTTAGCTCACACTGGGTAGGGAGGTTGGGTCACACCAGGCAAGGGTGTTTCCACTGGGGAGTAGGGTTGGTTCACACCAGACAGGTGGGCTTGCACTGGGCAAGGGGGCTGGTTCACACCAGGCAGGGGGGTTGGTTCACACTGGGCAGGGGGGCTGGTTCACACTGGGCAGGGGGTTCCTGTTGGGCAGTGGGGCCCCAAGCTCACACTTTCCAGCACTAAGTGCTGCTGGTGCCTAGTGGGCTGTGTGTGGGGTGCTAGGCATGTGGCCTTCTTTCCCGTGGGAATTGTAGAAGGAATCCTTGTCGGCCTCAGACTCGAGTCAGGAAGCTCCTGGGGAAAGCTGTGACATTCATTCAAAGCAGAAATGACATCAAGGTCCTTGATCTAGGGAGCAACAAAGTCAAGCTACATCAGCAGATACAATCCACAGAAATGGGTGGTTGAGTGGACATAGAGAGTAAGGGAAGGGAGGCTTCCAATGCTAGTTTTGGGAAACATACCCACTGGTGTGCCATGTCTGGCAGTGAACTCTGTATTGCATTTACTGTAAAGAGTGAAAACACCAGCAACACAGACTTATCACATTTGCAAGCTGACTTTCCTTTGGGGCCGTTCTTTCCAAGCCCTGCACTGAGGATGTGGTGTGTGCCATGCACCAGGCTGGGGCTGCTGGAGCGGCAGTAAGCTGAGCCAAGGCACTCTCTCTGCCGGGTTGCACGCACGCGTTGGGCCTACGACTGCATCCATGTCCCCAGGGGACACTGGGTGACGTGCCGGGTGCAGATCAGGGCTGTGGGGGATGGTGACTAGGCATCCGGGCTGAGTGCGTTCAGACCAGGAACTACCCGCTGGACCATCCCATCTGAAGGAGTTGGCTCAGGAAGACTGATCAATGGCTATATTCTGCCTGTTTCCACTTACCCAGTGAGTTTCTGGGGACAAAGCTCTGTCACCAGAGCCCCCTGCTGGCACTCGGTATGCATCTAGGTGCTAACGACGACACTGCATGATAGCTCAACCGATGGTCTGCACACTCGCAGCTCCTCAGAGCAGGGCAGGAACTCTGTGACGGGTCCGTTCAGTGAGGGTGTGAGGAGCCCTGGGGCATGCCCTGCACTCTGTTCTAAGCACGGAGCCAAACGCAGCCCCTATCCTCACGGAGCGTGGTGAGCACAGAGCATCAGAAAAGCAAGACCAAGTACCAGTGACCAGTGGAAACGTCAGCAGAATTAAAACAGGCTGATGTGATACACCAAGAGGCTAGTTGGCAGTGAGCACTGAGCCCAGGTTAGGAGAGGCTTCCTGCAGCTGAGAAGGGCCAAGCCTGCAGTGTGGTGTGGTGGTGGAGGGAGACACACAGGGCTGGGAAGGCAGGCTGGCCACATCAGGCACGACGCTGAGGCAGTCAAGGGGAGAGCGTCCACGCGAGCAAGTGTTCCAGTTCCAGCAGAAACAGCCGCGAATGCACAAGACTGCGTGTTCTTGGAGGAGTAGAGACAAGCTCCCCGTCTCAAACAGCAAGTGGGGGCTGGATGCGTGAGCGGGCTGTACACAGGACACTGTCGTGGGCACAGCACCCTGGGGGCACGCTACAGCTCCACTTAGATGTACGTAAGTGAAAGAGACTTCACCTTTAGACAAACTTTTGGAGAAAGCTGGTCTGTAAAGAAGCCTTTCCCTTCAGAATGTTTACATCCTTGCGCAAGACTGTTCTAGTCTATGTTACTCTGTTCTGTGTTACAAAAGATGCTTATTCTAGCTTCATGCTTTATACATGATTAGGCTTGAATTCCTCATTCACGTGAAAATTTTCAGTCTTACATATGAAGCATTTTTTAAAATATACTTTGTGGAAATATTTTAGAATGGACTTATATATATCCGTACTGTAAATATTAGTAAATGAAACTCATTAGATACCTAATATTAACTATTTAGATCCTAATTTCAAGTTAGATGGGTTATCATTTTGAAAAATTGTTCATATTAAAGTCTGTCTTACTCAATACTTTATCTCACTTGACAGATATATTAGATTGTTTCTGAAATATAACTTAGTGATGCATATAATCCAATGGCACTAGAAATAAAGTCTATTGGCAATAAGCAAAACTGTTTGTTTTATCAAGAAACATCTCTCAATTCTTGAATATACTATCAAAACATTCATATAAGGAAGAGCATCAGATTTCTAGATTATTCTAACAAAACTGACTTTGCCTCCCCAAAATACTATTTTCTACAGAAGCATTCCTTAAGATTCATCAGAGTTGTTGGCTCCTTCCTCTTTAGCTTTGTATGGATAAATTCTTCCATGCTGACAAAGATAAATTTCAATAAAATCAAACTCAATGAAACCAGTTCCTTGTTTTCTCTTAATTCTTACACCTACCTGATGGGAATGATGTAGGAGAAGAGAAGGAGGAACCGAAACAGGTTGCGGTACCACGGGCCTACAAATCCTTGTAAGGTTACCATAACAACCGAGAGAGCAACTAAAGCCACAAACAGTGCTTTGGTCAGCTGATTGAGTTCAAGGTCCAACAAACCAACCTGAAAGGAAAACACAGAATTAGGGCATAACCATAATGTCCCTAACATGACAAATGTGAATACATGATAGTGATGAATGACATCCTTAAATCTCCTCTTGTACTGACCTTAACTATAATAAAATACAAAACGGTATTAACTTTACTCTTCTCCTGAAAAGCCTCTGAGAGATTTAAGCAGAATTTCTGAAACAGAGTCATGATCCCCAGGAAATTCCCAGAAAGGATTTACTGCGACAACGGGAGTCCAGGGTATCCAACCAAAAAACACCCAGATCCTTTGTCAAGATGAAGATGCTATGACAGCCGACTAGGGCAGACTGGGACGGGCGGGGGGCACAAAGCACAGCAGAGCCCTGCTCAGGCTGTGGAGAGTGGATGTGTGTCTCTCTGCACGTGGAATGCCAGCTAACTGATGCTTAAGTGCATCCCACGTAAGGATTTCATGTTCACGTAGAGGCTCCCAGGAAGAGGACAGTGTCTGTCATCCCTCTCTGCCAGGAGTGTCTCTGAAAACACCTTCTCTGAATCAAGCAGAAAAGCAACAGACAAGGTAGTTAGCTTGACTGAATGCCTTTTTAATGTGCACAAATGCTACGCTTTAGGTTCTCCCCATAAGGTATACAACCCCAAATTCATTCTGTGGATTGTGCCCGATTGAGCAAACCGTGAGGGGAAGCTATGTCCATGGGAATGAACTCATTTTGGGGTGCATTCTGTGTGGGATCTTGGAAACGGTGAGAAGTAGTGTTCATTCCTCAAGTCAGAAGTGATCGCAAGCTCTGGTGGTCTGCATGCTGCCCTCCCCTGCTAAGTTGCCTGGCTGAAGGACCACAGTGTGGTACAGCATGTGGGTGGACACAGGGGTGGGGTCTTGGGCTTTGCAAAAAGGCTTCAGAACCACACAGGGGGAGAGGTGGGGTCACACAGCAATGACATTTTCTCGGGAATCAAAACGTAGGCTCATTTGAACGCTGGCTCTGCCACCTCACAGTAGGACCTTGGGCAAACTGTACACCCATTTTCTTATCTGTAAAACAGGGTTACAGAAGTGCCTCCCTAACAAGACTCAGGGAGTTAAAGACGAAGCACAGCTCCTGGGACAAAGTAAGCCCACACACGTTTTCCTGTTCTCGTTCTTTGAGTTAGGAAACACTGAGATCTGAATCTGCACTTCCCACCTCTGTGGCCTTGGCCTTCCCCTGGCTACCCTCGCTTTCCTCAACCCCAAGCTGCGGCTCCCCACCTGCTAACCAGGTGGGCTCCCTGCTGGCCCTGGAGAACCCACAGTTGCCCCTGGTGACTGCCCACCCTGCCTACTCCTCACTCACGGGACCCTGACAGGCACCGAGTCCTACCACCTCTGTCATTCACCACCATCTGAGCTCCTCCCGAATCTCGGACAAATTGTGAAAGAGAATAATCTAAAAAGAAAGTGATTGCCATAACTTTGATAAAATAAACGAGATACTACAATTCTCAAACTAAAGTGTTTGAGAATTACTGAGCTAATTAATTAGTAACTTGGTTTATTTTTTAGTACTTTTGAAAACCCCTAATTTTGGCCAAAATGAGGTTAGCTTTCCCCATGTCTCAGTCTTTAGTTTGTATCTGGTTGTGATTAACATCTGCCACAGACTTGCATGAGAACATTCGAACCTGTAGTTAGAAAAAAACACCAAACTTTGTCACAAAGTGCACGTAAGTAAGTGTAGCTCGGACGAAATCCACTCACTGAATAAATGGAAATGTCTGCTGAGCTTTCTGCTACAGCGTAAGGCGATGAAAAATGAGCCCACTGAGATTCCACCCGCAAGAAACAGCCAGTCTAGTAGGAAAAGTAAGATGAAGACCAGTGATAAAATTACAAAACA